GGATTTAGGAAAATGATCAACACCCTAGACACACGCTACACAGTGCCGTCCCGCAACTATTTTTCTATTGTTGCACTACCTGCTCTATACACGCAGCGTCCAGCAACGGAGAGGGAATTTCAAGCAGTACAACATTTTGCGGCAACAACAAAACGTGAGACATTTGTTGTTTTTATGTTTATTTATTGTTTTTATGTTCAGTCTCAACTGTTACGAAGTTGCTGTGCAGTTAATAAGTGCAATAAATATTTATACTGGAAATATTTATACTGGAATTTATACTGTATACAATAAATATTTATACTGGAAAAGAAAATCGTGAGAGAATTGTGATCTCAATTCTAAGCCAAAAAATCGTGATTCTCATTTTATGCAAAATCGTGCAGCCCTACTATATGATACATCTATATATACACTGTCAAAGATACTTGAGTGTCTTTGAGTGAAGATTTAAGGTGACAGGAAATATAAATAAATGCAACTTGAATCTTTACTGAAGCTCAGTATTTGACACAGAGTTCAAACTCATTGCTGTAATAACTAATAATGATTAATATAATAACTATAATATTGACCATATTATATTTACATTACCAAAGTGAGATGATTTTAGTCTCATGAACAACATTAGCTAATTGTTATTTACTAGTTAATCTTAAATGACTGTTCAGTACAGAAATGAAGCCCAACAATTATGTTTTTACAGTCCTGTGGTCTCAGCCTCAGATACTTATCAAATCACACAAAGCGCTTGTAGAAACAAATGAACAAAATATATTCTCCTTCATTACTGTCATACAAAGCTGTATGAAACGTTTCCAGCGGTTAGTATCATGGTTGCTAGGCAACCTGGGCAGCGCGATGGAGGCTAGACCTCCCATTTCACAAGCCTACAAGCCTCGCACTTCCGGCCTTAGCGTTCTTTTAGTTCGCGGCCCTTGAGGACCGTTAAGGCTGCGTACTTTAAGGCTGCAGGACCTGAATTGGGATACAGCCGCTCTCTTCGCTCCGGTGCTGCTGTAATACCAACATGTGTGTGTATGTGTCTGTCTGTGTTTGTGAAAGTGTTTGTGTGTGTGCGCGCTCCTTTTCTTGTGGTGCTTGGGGTCTTCCTGCTGTCTGTGCTGTTCACTTAAAAAAAGGTTTAAGATGCAAATGTTAAAGAGTTCTGCACAGCTTCCAGGACATCACTGTTGTTACTGACACCGGTGGTCACTATGTGAACTTCAGGTGAGCTCACCTGTGCAGGTTTCCTTCAGTGTCTGATGGCAGCAGCCTGACTGCACAGCAGTGAGCTGTGTGGGGATAAACGAGAGAGCTCTCTAGCCTCCAATGCCACCTCCTCAGCCTCCTGAAGGGGCCCGCTCAGCAGGAGACCTGGCTCATTTCTTCTCTCTGAGATCCACCGAGCAGAGGTGTGAGCATTCTGAGGGAGCTGTGCGCTTTGATTTCTCTGCAGGTTACAAGTTCAACTTAGATCAAAACATAAGAATGGTCACCAGTGTGGCCACAGTCTGGAACTTTACAGCTAATGACTTCATTATTTATCAGTCATCAGATTACACAGATATTTTTCTAACACTGTCTCTGGGGAAAAAAGTCAAGTTTTGAATTTATTTGTCTTGTGCACAGACTGCAGCTCAGCTTAAAAAAATAAGACATGAACATAAATATGACTTGTAATTAGAAAAATTCGCACAACTGGCAATGCCCCTAACAATAAACACATTAAACAAGTAAGTTATAAAAAGCTTCCAACCATACAGCTGTTATGAAGGAGGAAATTATCTATAACGTTTGTGTATCAGACTGTAAACCCTGCTGCCTCTGCTGGACAGCAGAAGAACTGCAGTGTTCTTCAGCCATAGAGACTGATGCCTGAGCAGTTAAAAGAGCAAATACTAATAACTCTAACCTGTAAAAAGCCTCTTCAATCAATCATTACCCCATCCAGTTCTGCCAGCCATCCACTCTCATTCCCTCTGGACCAATCCATCTGGGTGCAGATTGTGTTGTTACTGTTAGGTTAGTGTTAGTGTTGCTAGCGAGCAGCTCGCTTCCTCTTCCAAAATCCATTCTGTAAAAATCTGAAAACATCCACCTGGATTGTTATGTTGAGGAAAACCGCAGTTTTGAGAAATTCAGCATTTTCTTGAACTAATCCTGGAACAGGAAGAAGGTATGTGAGCTAGAATGAAACCTTTCCTGTTTTTAATTTGGGCAGTCAAGACCTTCAAGACTCTTCTCATGCTCTTCTGGTAGTAATATTAGGATTTATATGAAGCCCTTTAAGAAGAAGAAGAAGCATATTGACGGCCATCCAGAGGTGCAGAAGGTCTTGAAGGGAGATTGGCAAAAAGTGTTCTATGTTTTCTATGGGCAGGATCCCACAAAAGTTTCTTGCCTGAGAAGGAAAGAACAACAAAGACACTTTTCAACTTTAAACTTGGTGTTTTTAATGAAAACATTCTGCACTACATTACCCAACAGCCCCACACAGACTACACCTTTCTCACTTAAATGGCATGAAGAAGCTGACAGAGGAAACTCATCCCCAGTTATATGAGAAAGAAAAGTTTGGTCCCACGTTTGGTCATTTGAACCAAAAACGAAATGAGTTTAAAACAGAAATGACTCCACAGAGAGAACAAACATGCACAGCCAGATAGGTTTTATTTTTTAAGAAGGAGATTAGAAACTGGGTCTTTTAACATTTGTTATCATTCGGATGTATGGAAAATTTATAGCTTCTAAAATTGCTCAAATGTTGATCAAATTGAAAACCCGTACTGGAAAGAATCCCAAAAACGGCATTATTTTCCATCTGCAAAAGACAGGAGGAGATTTTAGAGATATAAGAAATAAAATTTATGCTTTAACAAAAAGGAAGAAAGACAGGGATGGATAACTGTAAGTGTAATAGTAACTGTAACTATAACAGTACATCTGACATGAACAGTAGAATAGTGTAAGAGTGTGTGAAGCTGCTACAAACTGAGTGTGAAACATTTCTTTTCATTCAGCACAGAATAAGGCTAAATAACATCTTTAAAAATGTTATTTAAGATGCAGTCACTGAAATTAGGACAAAATCGGCTCAAGTATATAAACGCTAACATTAGCACAGAGTCACTCACTCAGTGGATTTTATTAACAACTTCTGCAATTGTTAACCATATGACCATATAACCTGCAACCATATTGTTTTCCGCTGCATGTAAGTTACTAATCTTCTCCTGTGAGCTGGAAAGCTGCAGTGTGAGTATTGTTATGAACAGTAATCGCAATAAAGAAAAGTGTACGCAGAAAAGCGCTGAGATGTGGTCGGGTCTGTTGCACATCGTTTACACTAACCTAACCCAACTCAACCAAACTCACTTCAACCCAACTCATCAATTCAACCTCGCCCAACCGCACCCCACCTCAACGAACTCATCAACTGAACTCAACTGAACCTAACCTAACGTAACTCAACTAAACCCCAAACCGTTAATACAAGGCATGTCTATACTAAGAGATTAAAATGACTTCTGTGTTGACAGGGTCCTCTTATCCTAATTCTGAGTTATGTATTATTAATCTTGAGCCAGAGTAGCTCAAATGAACCACTATTAATTAAACATTAGGCCTTCACTTCTTTCCCTGTAATGTAAACCAACATTCATTTAATTTCTGCCCCCCTTTAGCAGAAGTGGGTGAAATGAGATGACCATTCAAGGACATCATCTCTGTCTGTGGCATCAAATACAGTTCCAAGAATAGAGAAAAAAGATTAAATTAATTTAGAGCTGTGCACAGCCTCAGTGATTATTTCTACATACTCTGAGCACAATATTTGAAATTTTGGTGATGTTTAAAATGAAAAGGATATATGTGACAGACAATAAGAGAGAACAGGACAGATCTACTTTAACTGCTTTAAAACAGCCTGCAACACTGGCATGCTTGGCAGCTACACTGTGACAGAGCTCTGGTTTTATTTCTATGCTGTTCAAGATGCTGACACTTTACCTGGGACCTACTACTAACTTTTACAGCTTTTACTCAGCTACTTAAAACGGTCTCAAATGTTAACCCGATTGCTAGGTGATTTTATACAACTGTCAGTCACAGTCGTCATTTCATCTCATCAAATCAACACCTGTGTGCAACACTAAATAATTTGTGTCTGAAAGTAAACTGAAGAACTGCAAAAGAATTTTGGCAGTAAATGTTGGCAGAGATAGCCAGAGATCTCACATTGGCTTCGGTAATAGAACCATTTTTTAAACTTGATTTTGTTAGTTTCCTTCAGTTTTTAGTACATTTTTCAGCAGCAGTAACAGTCTGTGCTCCTGCTGAGCTCTTTCCACAAAAAAAAACTTCAAAGCAGTGTAACCTGGTTCCACCAACATCCCCTGCTTCATTGCAGAGTGGGAGGGGCCACTGGTTCTGTCTGTAGAAAAATGTGAAGAAAATATGGCGCTGCAGCTGCTGACACTCTGTTAGGTGAGCTGATTTCAGTTCTTTCAACACCAAAGTCTTTGGTTGGACGATCTTTTGAACAGCTGGTCGGTCTATTGGTCAGTCCATCTGTTGGTTAGACCGTCTGTGGGTCAGCTTTTTGGTCTGTTGTTCGGTCTGTTGGGTGGATGGTCTGTCGGTCAGCTGGTCAGTGTGTTGGTCTGTTGGGTGGACAGTCTGTAGGTCAGCTTGTCGGTCTGTCGGGTGGACGGTCTGTGGATCAGCTGCTCCGTCCATTGGTTGGTCTGTGGGTTGTATGATCTTTTGGTCAGCTGGTTTGTTAGTCTGTTGGTTGTATGGTCTTTTGGTTAGCTGTTTGTTCTGTCAGTCAGTCTGTTGGTGGACAGACTGTCCAACCAACAGACTGACCAACAGAACCCACCACTGTGTCTATGACACTAGAATGTCGTTAGAATGTTGCCATTTTGACATGCTGTAGAATGGCTGGTTGCAGCACTCAAACAACATTCGAGAAAAGCTAAAACTAATAGCCCTAGTTATAGTAACTAAGGGGCGTGTCTTACTGAAAAGTCCCTGCTACCAGCTCTCCTGCCTCCTCTCTCTTCTGTCACTCAGTAGAGTTACTCTAAACAAGGATTCCTGCTCGTGTTCGGGACTCAAAGCAGCATCGTTCAGCCTCTTCATTCATTCCTGTCACCAAACATTTGGTGACAGGTCAAATCAGCTGTTTATCTCTGGCAGTGAAGTGATGGAACCCAAGCCAAGATGAAGCAGCATTTGATTACACAGTCATCCCAGCCAGCTGTTAGCACACTGCCTCCAGCTGTGAACCGCTGATGAACCACCTGTCAGAAGACAGTTCTCATAGTCCTTGATTTTAGGTGGCAGCTGGTAATGTCTTGGCAAGTATTGCTGAACCAATCTCAGGTCTTGGTGAGGGGATGCACATCGAGCCCATCCTGTTGAGTGACGTTGCTTTGGTCATGCCCTCACTGCCCACGGTGGATAGAGGGAAGCTCTCGTAGCTCTCTGTAGCCCGGTTGCCGCACTGGCAGCGTTGCAGTGTCAACTTCAGCTCCCTCTGGAAGTTGCTGTTGAGGAAGCCGTAAACGATGGGGTTAATGCAGGTAGAGGCCATCGCCGTCAGGTGACAGGCAGAGAAGACTGTGTCGTGCTGACAGTCTGGGAGGGCCTGGTGGTGCCAATCAAACAGAGTGTTGAAGACATTCAGTGGCAGCCAGCACAGAGCAAAGGCTATGACGATGGCCAGCAGCATTACGTTTATCCTCTGGGCTCCTCGAGTCCTCCTGCTGCGCTCCAGCATGTCCCTGCACAACACAGCATGACATCCATCATCAGACAATCCACCAGGAAATGTCACAGCAAACCTCAAGAAGCATTAACTCACAGCGTAACCACACACAGTGTCCACACAGAGCTCTAATCTGACACGATAACACGAACAGTTAAAGATGATGTGGATGAACCGAGTTATCACAGAGTGAGTGAACGGAAAGCTGTGTGACCTGCGACGTCTCAGGCGTAGAAAGATCCGGAGGTAGCAGAGGAGCACCAGCAGAAGGGGCAGGCAGTACTGGAAGATAAGCAGCGAGGTCGTGTAGGCTAGGCGATGCTTGTCTGACGGCCACAGCTCCATACAGATCAAATGATCCCTTAAACAAGACAGACATGGATAATGAAAACGGAAACACTTATTTAACTTTTAGAAGCACTGATTTAGGAAGTTGAAGATCTCATGTTTTGGGATATTGCTTAGTGTAACTTCTGCACTAAGCAATATCCCAAAACATCTGTGCCTCGATGTAATATCCCACTGAGCACAACTTTACTGAGGCTGGTGTCCAACCTCTGGTGACAGTTCTGAACATTACTTCACTCCTGACCCAGAAGTTTACCCAATTTCGCTGTGCAAGAAACTGCACAATGACAATAAAAAGCTTTAAGTCTAAGTCTATGTCTGACCCATTTGATGGCATTTTCACCTGCTTGGCATCCAGCGCTAATCTCAGAGGTATAAATATGTAACAGAATTTTCACTTAGAGATCAGAAACTAACAGATGAAACTGCCCAGAGGTTCATGAGAGGAAGGCTCTGAAAAAGAGGCTTTTTTATTTTGTTGACTGAACCTCGTATGAACCGCTTGCTTCTCTGGAACATACATGTTTGGGAACGTACTGAGGATGTACAGGGGTTTACTGGTACTACATTAGTGGCTTTTTTTGAATTTTTACCTGCTTGCACACCAGAATCAATAAAACCAGGTCCCTTCATATCTAAATCATACTCTCTCTGACCTTAGAGCAAAGCTGTCTTTGTCTCAGTCCTGTTATCAGAGTCTGAAATCGGCAGGTCCACTCACCTTAACGTTTTCAGGTTTTAGATGTGCTGATAAGCAGATACAGTGCTGTTCCCTGACTGTCTGAGCCAACAGAAATGCATCTTCAGTTTTCTTGTTAAATGAAGTAAATACAAACTCTTGTATTGAGATGAAACACTCTCTGCGTCTCTATCACCAGGCACCAGAGCGGAATTTAAAGAAACTCCAACAAATGCTGACATTCTTCTTCCACAAAATCAGAACTGTAAATAAACACCTCCTTCAGTGACTCTGATGGCCCTGAACCGGTTCTAAAGACTTCAGTTGGTACAGGAACCTGCGAGGATAAAAGGTCTTTCTTAAAGTGTTCATTAAGTATTTCTGACAGGCTAATGTCCAGACGGTCGGATTGAGACACATTCAGGTTCATTTATTGTGCTGCAGCAGACTTTATTCCCCTGATGAGTTCTGCTGCTGAACGTCTTAGGGCTACGCTGCTTTTAGCTAAATGCAAAACAAGCCCAAGGCGTTTTGGGCTGTGTGACAAATACCGAACATTTCCAAAGAATAAAAATAAACTCTGGGCTTTGAGAAAATCAGTTATGTGTCCTCATAGCTCAGCTCAGCTTCAGTTTAAAATGAAACAGCATCTCTGGACTGAAGCTAAGAAACACCTGTATCCCAGATCTCACCTGAAGGGGTTGGCAGGGAGGCTGATGTTCTGGAATGGGTCATTGGTGAGGATGTTGAAGGAGAGGAAAGGCAGTGAAATGAAGCAGGCAACCAGCCATGTCAGCCCCACAGCCAGATAGGAGTGTCCCGCGGCGGGGGACCAGCCAGTGGGATGGAGGATCAGCTGATGGCGCTCCAAAGCGATCAACACCAGGGAGAAGACCGACACTGTCACCGACATGCACTGAACAAAGGGCGTCACCTGGACGGGCACGAAACACAGCAGAGGACAAACTGAAGGTGTGGTTATCGAGCTCGCGGTACACTGTGAGAGCACGGCCCCATGGTCATGACCAGCTCCACCTTCACGCTGTGACATCACACTTTTATCCATTCATCCAAATGTATTCAGTTTCCCCTGTTACATCAGCTGACAGCTTCATGATGACCTCACAGTGAGCAAATGAAGGCAAGTTTTTTTTTCTCTTTTAAAATGTGAATGAACACACCTACAGGTGAGCAGGGCAGGCGGTACCTGGTCTGCAGGTAAAGTGCTGCTCGGCCTGCTGGGCACATGAAACACTGCCATGGATGGCTCTCACTTCCGTGTTAGCGTTGTTCTTCATCTCTGCTCCATCAGATCTGGTGCTACTGAACTTCTAAATCTGTAACATCAGCGGCTCTGAGTTGCTGCTGTTTGCTGTCTAATTTCAGATTTTTATTAAATGAGGTGACACAAACTTGTAATTAAAACCGATCTGTTATCTGTGAAGCCTGCTCAGGCTTTCAGGTGGTCGGTCACTCAGACTGAGAAGCATTACGTTCCTGTGTGGAGCAGACCACCACTTATCCCTCTGCTCCCACAGACATGCTTCCAGAGGAAGCACAAACACAGGCTTGTATCATCCTCTGGTCTCACCTGCGTACCTGACTCATCTGCATCACTAAGCAGTGGAAAGCTAACAGTCTTCATTTATCAACACAACTTTGGAGAATAAAAGGAGTATGCAATCCATGTTCAGGGTGGGCAGAGTCAGCACCTGGACTGCCCCCCCGGCTCATTTTTAATTTTACATCTGTCTGACAATGCTGGATGACTCTTATTTTGAAAGTCACTGGAAACTGCTGGCCAGTGAGCCTGGACCCTTCCTGTCTAAGGTGCCTCAGTGGTAGCTTATCAGGCCGGTGGCCCAGAGTGAGGTTCTGCCAATGTGAAGGTTATGGTTTTATTTTTTATTTAACCAGGAAAAACACACTTGAGATTTAAAATCTCTTTTAAAAGCACGTCCTGTGTTCTGAACGCTCATTAATTCAGTGTTCAGCAGTGCAGTCATAAGCTAGCAGTACTTACAGTAGTTAAAATAAAAGAAACAACCATAACTTAGAAACTCCATGTCAACAAAGAATGATTATCTTAGTAAAAGTAAGCATCTAGTGCCAGAAATGAAGCGGATAATATTCAGGTATTCAAGTCCTTTACAGCTGCCTGAAGAAGAGCAGCTCCTTCAGATACTCCTGCAGCTGACTCCAGGAGGAAGGAGCTGCAGGCTCGGTGTGAAACTGTGCTCAGGCTGACAACACAGCCCTGCAGACAGCTTCTCACTGTCGTCTCTTTATTGTTTTTGAAGGAAAAGGTGATGATTGCACACTGGTGAGTGCTGTTGTCCCAGCAGCGGTGAGCGTGCACGGCACACTGACCTTGCACAGGGCCTCCCCCAGCACCCAACGATCCATCAGCGTGTAGATGACGGTGACGGGCAGACACACGATGCACATAAGGATGTCGGAGCACGACAGGTTGGCGATCAGGATGTTGGTGACGTTGCGCAACTCCTGTTGCCGGGCAATGATGAACACCAGACCTGCGTTGCCTAGCAACCCAATGGCAATGACAGCGCTGTATGCCACGATGAGGAATGTTGCCCCGCCTACTGAGGGAGGGCACTGAGAGGTGTCTGCCCAATCGGAGGCCTCCCAGACGTGGAGGACGCCGCTGTCGTTGGACATGGCAGGAAGGGAGAGGAGGAGGAAGTAGGGAGCGGGCAACCCAGCGGTGGCGACTCAACTTCCAACAATAAAGAGGATCAGAACACAATGAGGGGCGAGGAGGAAGAGGAGGAGGAGGAGAACAGCACCCAGCTACGTGCTGTGAGGAGTTGGATGATGGAATCAAATATGGCGTCCTGTGTTTCTTTCCCCGGGGATCAGCTCTGCAGCAGCGTTTTCTGCAAAGAACACAAAACAGCAGCGAGTAATAAGATGGAGATGAGGAGCTCTCAGCGGACAGGCAGAGGAGGAGAAAGGTGAAGAGGAGGAGTGAATGAATACATCAGCACATGCTGCTATCTCATGCTGAGCTGCACTCCATCGTCCAGAGACACTCGTTAGCGTACACTGCCAGCGTGGGTGTAATGGCACATTATGCAGCCCAGCTCACTGGGACACACTCGGCAGAAAAACCACTCTCCAACTATCTGACTGTCGGCGTTTGCTAAAACGTTGCAGCGTGAGGGCTGCACTTCAAACAGGAAGCCTAAAAACACTCCTCACAGCCCGACAGTCGCTCCATGTGCACAAGTAGCAGAAAAAAAACAAAAATCCTAGCTCAGCTCTCCAACAGTCAGACCTTCCAAATCATCAGACTGTAGTTTGCTCTCACCATAACTCATGCAACGATTTAATTTAATTCAGTTTTATTTGTATGGCATCGAATCACAAGAAGAACCCTCCGGCAAAACCAGTCTCAGGGACGGGCAGCCATGTGCACTGACCGACCAATAACAGCATAACTAAGGAAAGGACTCAGGGTCACCTGATACAGCCCTAACTATATGCTTTAGCAAAAAAGAAACTTTGAAGCCTAATTTTAAAAGTAGAGATAGTGTCTGTCTCCTGAATCCAAACTAGAAGCTGGTTCTACAGTAGAGGGGCTGGAAAGCTGAAGGCTCTGCCTCCCATTCTACTTTTAAATACTCTAGGAACAACAACTAACAGTCTGCGAGTGAAGTGCTCTAATGGGGTGATACAGTACTATAAGGTCTTTAAGATAAGATGGGGCCTAATTATTTATTGATTATTCTTGTATGAAAAGAGCAGGATTTTAAATTCAATTCTGGATTTAACAGGGAGCCAATGAAGGGAAGTCAGTATAGGAGAAATCTGCTCTCTCTTTCTAGTCCCTGTCAGTAATCTTGCTGCAGCATTTTGGATTAACTGAAGGATTTTCAGGGAGTTGTTTGGACATCCTGATAATAACAAATCATAGTAGTCTAGCCTAGAAGTACTAAATGCATGAACTACTTTTTCAGTGTCAATCTGAGACAGGATATTTCTAATTTCAGAGATACTGATCAGATGACAGAAAACAATGATGATCCGCTCTGTTCTGCAGCTCCACAAAGCCCCCTCATTCCGGAGCAGCTCGAGAGCACCCCCTGTGGAGCAGGGAGTCTAGAAAGGTTCTGATGCTAACAACTATAAGCTGAGATCAGCTGCTGATACACTGTAGCCCTCTGTGGTTTTAAAGAATATCAGAGTTTGAACTGTCATGTATGATATATGTAATGTTCTTACACATGTGCACAAACTATACACACACCCACAGTCAGTATTGTTTTAACGACCCGTGTTCTCACTTATCTGCGACGTGCTGACTTAACGGTTTAATTAAGATACAGCTTTTAAAGCATCAGCTGCTGCAGGCAGCGCGCGTCCTCTGATCACATGCACATCGACACCATCAGCTGTCTGCCTCGACCACTCTTTCATTTCGCCCTCCACTGACAGCCTTCATCAGCCCTGAGGGACTGAACTGCCACCAAATGAGACACACTCACAGGTGTTTGTGCACAGCCACGCTCTGACTCACTCGCAGCAGCCACCCGCTTGTCATGGCAGCCATCACACAGCTCCATATCTGCTGCTCCCTCGCTCCCGCACAAGAACACTCAGAGATCCACACTGTTTTTAAAATATGCACACGTAAAGCTCCAACACAGGACAGCAGCTTGACAGATGTTGACGAGACAACACCAGTAACATCTGGAAACAATGCGTTTCCTCTGCTGTGCAGAAAAACATCACAAAACACGGCATGTTTACTACATCATCGCCTGACAACAAATCTTCTGTCTCCAGGCAGGTGTTCGGTCATTCTGTCTAATGGCCAGCAGGGGGCGACTCGTCTGGCTGCAAAATGTAGTTGGTCATATAGAAAAGTCCAACAGAGACCCAAGAGCTGAAAACATCCAAAAGGTGCAACCCAGATCAATCAGTTCCTCTGACATCTGCTGGATGTCAGTTCGGCAAAGACAGTGCCCACAGGTCTCTGCAGATTTCATGCAGGAGGTTATCAGAAAACCCGACAAGGTTACCGTTAATGTTCCAACAATGAATTTTGCAATGTCTCAACTTGACTCCGCCCACTGTCTGCTCAGCTGGTATGCTACTACATGTGTCCAAAACCAGCTACAGCTGTGGTTTGACAGAAATAGAGAAAATCTTTATTTTATGTCATTTTTTTTACTTTTACTGAAGAAAATTGTGTTGTTTCATCTCCGTGTGATGTATCTGGGTGAACATTACAGCCATGTGCTGAGCCAATTATGCTAAGTTTAGCTAGTAAAATAGTTTGCTAGTGTAGCTCTTGAAAGGTCTCATTTCATTTTGATGGTATAAATGTAAAATGATTTCCATTATTGATATTTTACTATATATACTTCATTTTTTGAAGAAAAAAAAATCCTCAGAGGTGAAATTTAACTCAGTTGTCTCAAATATTATATTTCAGTTAAAATTCAAGGTATATACAGTGGGGCAAAAAAGTATTTAGTCAGCCACCGATTGTGCAAGTTCCCCCACTAAAATGATGACAGAGGTCAGTAATTTGCACCAGAGGTACACTTCAACTGTGAGAGACAGAATGTGAAAAAAAAAATCCATGAATCCACATGGTAGGATTTGTAAAGAATTTATTCGTAAATCAGGGTGGAAAATAAGTATTTGGTCACCTCAAACAAGGAAAATCTCTGGCTCTCACAGACCTGTAACGTCTTCTGTAAGAAGCTTTTCTGTCCCCCACTCGTTACCTGTATGAATGGCACCTGTTTGAACTCATCATCTGTATAAAAGACACCTGTCCACAGCCTCAAACAGTCAGACTCCAAACTCCGCCATGGCCAAGACCAAAGAGCTTTCGAAGGACACCAGGAAAAGTATTGTAGACCTGCACCAGACTGGGAAGAGTGAATCTACAATAGGCAAGCAGCTTGGTGTGAAAAAATCAACTGTGGGAGCAATCATCAGAAAATGGAAGACATACAAGACCACTGATAATCTCCCTCGATCTGGGGCTCCACGCAAGATCTCATCCCGTGGGGTCAAAATGATCATGAGAACGGTGAGCAAAGATCCCAGAACCACACGGGGGGACCTGGTGAATGACCTGCAGAGAGCTGGGACCAAAGTAACAAAGGTCACCATCAGTAACACACTACAACGGCAGGGAATCAAATCCCGCAGTGCCAGACGTGTTCCGCTGCTGAAGCCAGTGCATGTCCAGGCCCGTCTGAAGTTTGCCAGAGAGCACATGGATGATACAGCAGAGGATTGGGAGAATGTCATGTGGTCAGATGAAACCAAAGTAGAACTTTTTGGTATAAACTCAACTCGTCGTGTTTGGAGGACGAAGAATACTGAGTTGCATCCCAAGAACACCATACCTACTGTGAAGCATGGGGGTGGAAACATCATGCTATGGGGCTGTTTTTCTGCCAAGGGGACAGGACGACTGATCCGTGTTAAGGACAGAATGAATGGGGCCATGTATCGTGAGATTTTGAGCCAAAACCTCCTTCCATCAGTGAGAACTTTGAAGATGAAACGAGGCTGGGTCTTCCAACATGACAATGATCCAAAACACACCGCCCGGGCAACAAAGGAGTGGCTCCGTAAGAAGCATTTGAAAGTCCTGGAGTGGCCTAGCCAGTCTCCAGACCTCAACCCCATAGAAAATCTGTGGCGGGAGTTGAAAGTCCGTGTTGCTCGGCGACAGCCCCAAAACATCACTGCTCTCGAGAAGATCTGCATGGAGGAATGGGCCAAAATACCAGCTACTGTGTGTGCAAACCTGGGCCCGTTCTTCGTACCGCGCTAAGTAAGTTAGCTGGATGTAGATTGTTGACGATTTCGCGTGATCCAGGATCGTTCGGTTCCCCGAAGCCATCCGGGACTTGCTGTCATAGCAACAGAGCCGTAAGCGTAAACCTGCTGGGGAGCAGGTTTACTTTATGTAAACAGGATTAGATCGCGGCCACGCAGGTATGCCCGCGTCATTTATACGAAAGCAACAGCGATATTCCACCACTGTTTCACCATAAATAAATAACATCAATGTAACTAAAGATCAATGCAGCACCTGATCCATTTATTGATTTCACACAGATACATACAGGTCATTTCCTAAAAAAGGGAAATGTACTATTAACATCTATTACATGTATGTGATTATTACAGATGTAATTCATATTTCAGAGTAGTAATTGCAAATTACTTCGTGTAATCAAGATGAGAGACCACGGCTATAAAAGCGAAGGTGGATTTGGGAAGCCTGTCGCAGCCATGTCCTGCGGAAGGTGCAAGATTGATAAGGAGAGTTTTCAGAATTCAGCGTATATTGCGGGACAGACAGGATCCTTTAGCTCAGCGCGACAGTGTGCTCATAGAGAGATATCGATTTTCCCGTGAGGGTATTATTTACTTAACCAACTTGTTGACGAGGGGGTGCAGGACCACCACCTGTCTTTTTTTGCTCTGCCCTTTTCTTGGTTGCTGTTATAAACAAACAGATTATTTCAGGGTCTCTTTCCAAGAGACTAAAAGCAATATAAGTGATAAATATTACCATTCTGTAGAATATTCTTATATTTCACTTTTACTTGTTCCCATGTTCTAGTGGGTCCTGTTGTGGCTCTAATGTGAAAGGGGATATAATATAACATATATAATATAATGTAATATAATATTGGATAATATAGTGTAATATAATAAATTTACCCTACCGCCTACTGGTGTTGGCCAGAGGGGCCGATGGCGCGATATGGCAGCCTGGCTTCTGTCAGTCTGCCCCAGGGCAGCTGTGGCTACAACCGTAGCTGCCTCCACCAGTGTGTGAATGTGAGAGTGACTGAATAGTGGCATTGTAAAGCGCTTTGGGTGCCTTGAAAGCGCTATATCAATCCACTCCATTATTATTGTTCTTATTAAATTACTTACGAGTTTAATTTGTCAGCAACTTTCTGCCAGCCCTCTCTCCTTGCTTTTGCAGCCTTTGCAGTGTTCCCTTGCGTTTTAATTAAACTCTGAAACTCCTGAAATCCCTCACTCAAGAGTTCTTGCTCTGCTGCCGAAAAATACCGAGCCGAGCGCGCTCCGTCGACATTTTCGCCGACCAATCAGAGGGTTGCCGATCAATGTTTCTACTATCGATGCGTAGCCCCTTTTACGACACCCAGTGATGTCACATTACTGCGTCCAGCTGTACTAATCGTCAACAGCAGGTGTGTTCGGGGAACCGGATTAGCGCGCTCACGGTTAGCGCGATGGTTTGGTCTTGGATGTTTCATTTGATCTTGGATGTAGTGAGCGACGTACGAAGCACAGGGCCCTGGTAAAGACCTATAGTAAACGTTTGACCTCTGTTATTGCCAACAAAGGTTATGTTACAAAGTATTGAGTTGTATTTTTGTTATTGACCAAATACTTATTTTCCACCCTGATTTACGAATAAATTCTTTACAAATCCTACCATGTGGAATTCATGGATTTTTTTTTCACATTCTGTCTCTCACAGTTGAAGTGTACCTCTGGTGCAAATTACTGACCTCTGTCATCATTTTAGGTGGGGGAACTTGCACAATCGGTGGCTGACTAAATACTTTTTTGCCCCACTGTATATTTCTATTTCATATCATTTATAACTTGTGACTGTCTAACA